TTTATTCACCTATTTACAACATTTAAACTAAGAGGAACACAATTGACTTAGACCTATAATATATTGCACTAATATAAAGAATGTTTTGATCCACCAAGTCTCGCATGTTTAATAGTATCTATTTACATTTTAAATCAAGAAGCACCAATACGAAACAAGCACATTAATTGACAAACAATATTTATATTAAAGTAAGTTGTTAATAGTTTATTAATTCATATATGACTGTTTTAAACTGCATAAATCAAATATTGATTGACCTTGGATTGGATAGTTTAGTATATTTTACATGGCTAAATTAGACAGTCCATCTTTGTAATTAGATAGTATGACGTCAACTGTTCACGTAGTCTGTCTTGTCTCTTGTTGTAATAAATCTTTAGGTAAGACAAGCACCCATGTTTGCTGCTACAGGGAAGGTAATTAGGTGTTTTTAGTGAAACATTAATAGCTTACAATGAAATAAGTAAATTCACCAACTTTGATCATAGTATATCCATAAACAAGTGAATTACAACAGTTTACTTATCCTCCGTAAGAATAACAGGGAATTTTAAATTTACAGTTTTATGGGATTTTTACGTAACCGTTAGGCATACGCTTCCATATACTGTAACTAGCGGAAATACCCGTGCTTCACTACAGAAACTTTCAAATTGGTTGAAATTTAAAATAAATTAGTGTTTAAGTGCCAACAACCTTCAGTGAACATTGCAGACGATATTGCTCTTTTTTACTTTCTCCCCCTATACCATAGTAGGCTATATGGAGATTATTGTTTTCGTCAAAATTTTCGAGTTGGTTTTCGAAGTGATGTCTGTGTGTGTGTGTGTGTCTGGATGTGTTCAGATCTAGGGACTACACCTGTGGTCCGATTTCGATGAAGTTTGGTATGTAGGTTCTAATCCATGGTATCTCCAGGAGTTTTTTTTTGAAATTTTGATTTTTAATGGGGATTTTCCCATACAAACTGGAAAAATAGGATTTTCTCAAAAATGGCCCAAACGATTTTGATAAAAATTTAGTATGTTGTAGCCCTTTAAATTCTAAACAAAATGGTACAAATCCCATTTCTGTAAAGTTTACGGTTCAAAAGTTATTGTAAATTATGTTATTTTCCCATATAAACATTTTCCCATAAATTAATGGAAAAATAGGATTTTCACAAAAATGGCCCATACGATTTTGATAAAAATTTAGTATGTTATACAGGGTGATTGGTACTCAGTGTGAAAAAAAATTTTGGCGTAAGTAAAGAAGTAAATGAAGTGTGATGATGCATATCAAATGTTCCAAGTCTAAAAATTAGCTTCCCAAAAAAATATTTTATGTTTTTAAAAAATAACCATGCTTTTAAACTTAATACAGTGATTTCTCAATTACCTGTATTTGGATTTGAGTAGATAATGTCATTTTCGTGATACATTAATTTTTGATTAATTTTTGAACAAGAATAATAGAAAATGGTGGAGGATCAGTTGCAAAAACTCCATTGTAAATAGATTCAAATATAAAAATTAAGAGGTTTGATAAAAATTTAAAAAACAATGTTCTATTGCATTTTTCACACCCTGTGTACCAAAAAATGTCGGAATATGTTAAAAACTGTACCATTTTATAAGCTTTCCAACCATATGCTACACTATTGAGGTTTAGATTTTTTTGTTTGTTTTAATGGTTTGTGTTCCGTCAAGTGTCTTTGTTTCATCTATTAATTTAAATGTCTTTGTATTTAACATCCCATCATATGACCATTATCCATTGTTGGATTCATTTCATCGTCAATCACCTCTCATAACAAGACCTACTCATTATTTCTCTCTTAAAATAAATCTTTTATACCAAAACCCTCGACCTTTTACTCTTTATTAATAACACCGCACATTTTTGGTCCTTTCGAGCCGCGGATTTTTGGTCCTATCGAACCGCGGATTATATCTATACATTAGTGCGACTTTTTTCAAGTTAATTTAAATGTCTCGGTTGAACGTATTTCATCCGTCGTGAAGCCGCCAAAGACAATACCGCATCGCCATTTTGAACTTTTCATCTACGTCACGATACAGTCCACACTCCTCTCATTCCAAGTGTTCAACATCGTCATAGTTCTGCTAGTTCCGCTCCGCTCCGCATTCATCACTTCATTTCGTCTACACAACTTCTCTTCTTCAAACGTCAAGAAATTGAAAAGTAAGGTTATGTTTGTACTTCTTGGATGAAAATGAAGACAAGACAACATCGCATCTCATCGTAAGTTCTAACAACAAACAATACCTACAAGAAAATAATAAAGAAACCCTGATTTTATTCCTCAGTCGTCCTTATCCTCAAATTAATTACTCCATCCAACAATAACTACTTACTTAAGTTAACTCATTGAACGATCAAGGCCTAACTTTCAAAATGAGATTTTCAACATTTTCTAATAGATGCAAATTGCAATTAAATAAATTAAATACCGTCAGTGAGTATATTCAATCATGCCCATCAGAAATTACAGAAGCTCAAACCGCTAAACTTAACCTTTATTTGCACGAAGCTAAAGCAATTTCTGCCAATTTTGAATCTAACCTAGATAAGCTTCTTGATGTTGATGACGACACCAAAGTTTTTTCTGACAATGAAGAAGCTATTTTAAAGCTCCAGAACGACATATCAGAACTCTCAATTAACATTCAAACTGAAATTTCTCTTTTAATTCAGAACTTTAATGATGAACACTTGTCAAATAACTCGGTAACATCAAACCCAACCTCTAGGCCTACTCATAGCGTTGTAAAATTGCCCAAGCTAGAACTGAAGTCCTTCAATGGTGACACTAAAACATGGATATCCTACATTAACCTTTTTGATACTACTATCCACAACAACAGTAGCTTATCCCTTGTTGAAAAACACCAGTACTTGATAAGTTCACTTGAAGGCGAAGCCTTACACCTAATCAAATCCCTACCGATCTCTGGCAACTATACAGTAGCCTATAATGCTTTACGGGAAAGATATCACTCGAAGCGTAGGCTAATCTCTGTCCACCTCAGTAAAATTGTCGATTTGCCCAATATTACTGACAAATCTATCAAAACCCTCAGATCATTTTTAAATGGATTTAATGAAAATGAACAAGCTCTTAGTGTTCTTGACTATAATGTCATGGAAGACAACTACCTACTAAGTATGTTGATCTTACGAAAAATGAATTCCAACCTCTGTCAAGTTTTTGAATCAAAACGCACAAATTCTTCTGATTTTCCTCAAGCTAGTGAAATAATCAAATTCCTCAAAGATTTTTGTAACAACAGTGAAGATGCCTCTCTCTGTCACGCTCCACAAGTAGCTCCTCTCCAAACATCCAACCCTCACCAAGTTCCACGTCAAATTGATGAATCAATTCAGTTTCAACATCCTCCTATGGCTTTGATATGTACTTCAAATGATTTGAAATGTTTTTGCTGCCATAAAAATCACAAAATATACAGTTCCCCTGTCTTTAATAGTAAAACCCCTCAAGAAAGGCTTAAAGTTGTACGCAACTTAAAACGCTGCACAAATTGCCTTGGTAATCACTTTGCTAAACGCTGCAAGTCTACTAATACTTGTAAGACCTGTTTTAAACTGCATCACACACTCCTACATTTCTTGAAGCCTACTAAGCCTATGGCTGATAACAGAAATCACTCCAACCAACAACAAAAAGATGCAATAGCAAACTCTAAACCTTCGAAACTGACAGCTGTAACTCCTGGCCATTTTCCTATCAACTCTTATCTGACAACTGTTCCTGACCCAACAAAGATCTCACCTCTTATTAATAATTTACCTCAAGACATCACCCGAAGCCTATGCTGCCGTTGGAGTCAAGAATATTTTAAGACCCCTCATCAGCGTTGTTTCAAGTGGAACATCAAGAAAGAAAACCTCAAAATAGAACCTGTTTGCTAAAACACACCAGCTCCTCCTAGCTACAGACCAGCTGGATCCTCATTCAAGACCATCATTCAAAGTGTCTTCATACCATTAAGCTGCATTCTTTAAATAATTTTACAACCCACTCTGGTTGATTCTCATACAAATGTTATATTTGTTCAATTTCTCTTTTGTTGAACCTTGTTGGTTCAAAGGGGGCGGTATGTTCCGTCAAGTGTCTTTGTTTCATCTATTAATTTAAATGTCTTTGTATTTAACATCCCATCATATGACCATTATCCATTGTTGGATTCATTTCATCGTCAATCACCTCTCATAACAAGACCTACTCATTATTTCTCTCTTAAAATAAATCTTTTATACCAAAACCCTCGACCTTTTACTCTTTATTAATAACACCGCACAGTTTGAATACCAGAAAACAGGGAACTTTTTAAATGTTATATTTGTTCAATTTCTCTTTTGTTGAACCTTGTTGGTTCAAAGGGGGCGGTATGTTCCGTCAAGTGTCTTTGTTTCATCTATTAATTTAAATGTCTTTGTATTTAACATCCCATCATATGACCATTATCCATTGTTGGATTCATTTCATCGTCAATCACCTCTCATAACAAGACCTACTCATTATTTCTCTCTTAAAATAAATCTTTTATACCAAAACCCTCGACCTTTTACTCTTTATTAATAACACCGCACAGTTTGAATACCAGAAAACAGGGAACTTTTTACTGTTCAAGCTGAAACAAAAATACAACTTTTGCGTAATACATGCCGACTTTCTATGTTTTAAATGTTAAAGACACCATGCTTTGTAGTCTTCAAACCACTAAAGCGTACATAAGCAGACATAAAGCTCAATGGTGTAGCATATGGTTAGAAAGCTTATAAAATGCCGCAGCTTTTAACATATTCCAACACTTTCTTGAATACAGGGTGTGAAAAATGCAATATACCATAGTTTTTTTTTTTAATTTTTATCAAACATCTTAATTTTTATCTTTGAATCTATTTACAATGGAGTTTTTACAACTGATCCTCCGTCATTTTCCATTATTCTTGTTCAAAATTTAATGTACAACACAAAAATTACATTATCTACTCAAATCCATATACAGGTAATTGAGAAATCGCTGTATTAAGTTTAAAAGCATGGTTATTTTTTAAAAACATAAACTAATTTTTTCTTTTTGGGAAGCTAATTTTTAGACTTAGAACATGTGATATGCGTCATCAGACTTCATTTACTTTGTACTTACACCAACAAATTTTTGTCACACTGAGTACCAATCACCCTGTATATAGGTCCTTTAAATTCTGAACAAAATTGTAGAAATCCCATTTCCGTATATTTACTCTCACCGCTTTACACATGATAAAGGTTGTTGACAAATTTATGGGAGAAAGTATGTGTCAGAATGCTGATACCGTTTATTACACTCAAAACGATAACCCCTCGGTCGATAGTTGGTTGCCTTGCAGATTCAATCAACTACGATGTTTTATTACTCAGAAAATGGTGCTCTATAAAAAAATGCAAATAAATGTTAGTAAGACAAAATATGTTAATTTTGACTTCTTTGGTTTTGACACCCCTTTTCCTTTAATTTTTCACTCCCTTACCTGCAAATTCCACTTATGTACCTGCCAACCTTTAGAAAAAGATAAATCGATTAAATACTTGGGTGTTTTGCTTGATGAGAAACTAACTTTTGAACACCATATTTTAGAACTACACTCAAAATTAAGATCACAAATTAGAAAGTTCTAATTTCTTCAAAATTTTTGCAACACCTCACTTTTACAAACACTTTATTTCGCACTGATAAACTTGAGATTACAATATGCTTTGCCTTGCGGGGAGGTACTTACAAAACATTAATAGAGAAGATAAGAACAACTTAACATTTTTCTTGTGAATAATTCTCAAAAAACCTAAACAAACTAGCTCTTTTCCATTATACCAACAGTTATGCATTCTACCAGTTCAACATCTTTTTATTTTTATAGTCCTGAGATTGTTCTTCATCCGGAGCGGAAACAGAGAAAATATAATTCCATATCATCATTACAGGTTTTACAAATAAATCTATTAAATTACTCAAAGTAAACAAAACTTTTTTCAGGCATTCATTTCAATACTTGGATCCAAAATTTAACAATCAACCTCTGATTCATATTAAAAGTACAAGAAATTTTAAACATTTTTGTAAAAGAACAATAACTTGGCTTAGTTCTCAACAGGATGTAGGTTATCTCGCCAACTCGGATAAAATATTTGTTATATGATGCTATGCTCAACAATTTATTATATATTTATGTTTAACCTTGTAACTGGTCACACTACTTGAAAAAGTTACCAGTTTAAATTTCTTAACAATTATTATGATTGTAACATGTTTTGTAATATGGGAAATAAATTCATTTATTCATTCAGCTACAACCTGCTTTGCTCCACACGATGTCATATTAAAGCAGCTATTATAATGTCCCACCCGTCCATCAAGTGTGTATGCTTAGTGTAGTGCCCATGACCAGACTGTATAAAGGTTCAGGTAGGTGCTGCAAAGGTATTAGCTTTGCACTTTACCACCATTGCAGCCAGTGGCGGCGCTTCCATAAGGGCCAAGTGGGCCGGGCCCACCCAAAATAAACAGTAAAGTATATTTTTAAATACTTTAAAGGTTATTTGGTTGATATTATTCAATAAATTGAGATAAATTAATTTTGAACTTTCAATCATAACCTTTGTTGAAATACAATGCAATCATCTCGCCATATTACGGTTTTAATGATCATAAATTTAAAGGCGTGATGTTGATTATTGTGAAGTGAAGCGCGTTTTTGTTCGTGGTTCAAATGGGGTTAGGTAGCACTGCTGGACGAAGAGGTTCGACAGTCTTTACATTTCCATTCTTTGCTGTCCATGAACAAGACAACTAGAGCAATGTTTTTCATATTTTCACAAAATTTTGTTCAAAGGTTTAAGGCGGGATAAACTTGAATGAGTTTGAAAAACCAGCATGATCGGACCATGAGAACGGGGTTTTACGGGTGGTTTTATGGGGTAAAAATTGGTTTTTCTCATTTTTGACCCTCAAAACACAAAATTTCCACATTTCTCTCTAAACCTTTTTAAGGAGCATAAAAAAAATAATTTAGTATGTCAAAGTGTTTTTCTCAGGTAGGCCTAATTGGTGACGGAGAAAATTCTAAAATATGTTTATTCTTATGGAGAATATTGTCAAATGTTGTAGTTTGCTTGTTTATGGATATATTAATTTTGACAAAACTTGGCAAATTTATTTATTTTATACCAAACAACGAACAGCTATTACTATAGATGAAGTTGTTGAAGTTCTTGTTTTTGTATTGTACAATGAAATATTTGAAAATAGTTTCTTATACTCTACTTGTTACTTCTTGTCAAAGAAACAATCCTTAAAGAATTTGAATTTTAGGTGGGAGATCTTTAACACAGACAATTAATTGGTTCATATTAATGGATTTATAGCTAGCTTAAGGACAGGGTTTTAAGTAAAAATGACATGACAGACTGCCGATAAGTGGTGAGATTTGAACCTTGCTTTTCTGGATGGAAGGTCCTAGCCCAAACCACTAGGCCTAACTAGCAACATCCCTAAAGTAGAATTACAGAGTAAAACTAATATTATTTTTGCTGGATTTGAATTAACTTGACAATTAAAATGAAATGTTGGAAAGGTTTACACACAAATAGACTATTACTTGAACTACAAATTAAATCAAATTTATGGTACTAATATGGTTTCAGGCACTAAATAGGCAGATTATTATAATCATGGATGTTGACAATAAGCAAACAAGTTAAAAGAATACTAAGAAAAAAATAAATATTGAACGTATTAAAACTAACATTGGAATTTGCAAACATCTAAACCTATAACCTATCTGAAACAAAAGTACTCCCTATTTGTTGAACTTTGTGTGACAAGGGTAAAATAGTATACATATATGCTTAAGCATATAAATTTAATAATAGTTCTCTAAATTTATTCCTACAAATGGAAAAATCCCCTATCAAAAAAGTAACAATGTTGGTCATCTTTCTAAATCTACGTAAATGTAAACCTTTACTAAAATAGTCCAGAAAAGTTCTAAGAACATTTAAAAACTACCTTACTACTTATGAATTGTAATGCATTTGTAAAAAAAAAAAACCAACTAATTAAGTCACACTTTGTCTTAGACAGTTTAAATGGACGCTACTGTTAAATAATTCACCTAAGGCCTTTTACTTGATAGACGACGACCACAAAGCCAGAATTAAATACAAGCTTAAAATAAATGTCCCGATGAAAGTAAAACAAAGCGACATTGCATGTCTGACACTTGCATGTTCGATATGTCTGATCAGATAAATATCCAGCAGAGATCTGACAATGTGTTGTCCGTCAAAGTAAAAACACGGAATGATGTTCAGAAGTGCCATACCAATGGAAAAAGATGTAATGTACTGACAAAACGTACGTATTCGCTCGGGAATTGTGGATGGAAATAGAGCGTAGAGATTGGTGTAGTCACTGACACTGACAGTGTGGAACACTTCCGCTGGGTGTCCAAGGAACAACACCGTGCGGTCGGTCTTGGTCCTAATGGTCACCAGCTTGGTAGAATTCTCCAGCGACGGTCGGAAGCAATGCAGCGTGACCGGACAGTCGTGAGAATCATAACACACTGCAGCCGAGTGTTCAACGACAGTGCGCGCATTGAGACAGGAGAACTGTGGCAACTGTAGCGGCTCGTCTCCTATCTCCAAGTACTCGAAGCACAAGTGTCTCGGTGCGTTGCTGTTGCAACACTCAACTACTCCCAAAGACAGATGTTTGGCTGTAGAAAGCAGCAAATATACAAATCTTCACCAGTGAAACAACAAGCAATAGGACTAATTACACTAAAAAACTTCGTGATCAGCATTGTATGTGTTATTAAATTACAGAAAGTAAATAAAGATATGTCTAATAACACTTAAAACATATATTTACGCTTATACTAAATACTGGTAACTAACAAGACGGGAAATATAAATAAAAGATGGTGTGGTGATGGATTTTGATTGGACACTCAAATCATCATCAGACCCAATAGGCGAATGACTAGAATCTAGAATGGCGTCCCTACTTATATCCTATTGGCAACCGGAAGCACCTTTACATCTTTAAGTACAACTGGAGTCGAAACTTATTTGTTCATTAATCAGCTTGTTTCTATTTTTACATATTTCCTTATAAATATACAATTCTTCCCAAGCATTCATTACGAATCCTTTTTTACAAAAAATAAATAGACTATTCTCTATTTTTAAAACGTTTATATTAGCTCGCTTTCTTGTCCAGTACAAATTTTGCAATAAATTTCATACTAACTTCCCGATGAGCTAGAGACTTGAAACTTGAAAAATATCTCACAAATGAATAACAATGCAATATTATATAATTTAATTTTCATATCTCCTTTGGGCTAAGCCCCATCGGCTTGTTTTTATCAGCTCGCTTTCTTACAAATTTTGATTCAATTTCAAACGAAGTTCCCCATGAGCTAGAGAATTGAAACTTTAAACATAGCTCATAAATGGATGACAATGCAATATTATATAATTTAATTTTCATCATCACCCTAGTAATAAATTATGAAGATCGTAAACAAACATCTGACATCTGATAAGACTTTTATGTGCTCAGAACCAACCACGTTGACTATGATAGTAAATTATAAGTAATTTATTATTATAAAAGGCTGTACTGAACCGAATTTGTACCGCATAAAATGCTGTACCAAACCGATGACGGTAATTAAGATTGTACCTTTCGGTGCACCGCTGACCCCTAATTAATACAGTAGACCCCCTCTTAACCGACCCTAATGGGACCGGACCTAGGTCGGATGATTCAAAAGGTCGGATAAAACGGGCAATCCCTAAAATCATAACATAATGAAGTGCTATTCATCTGGAATTTTATAATCATTATTTTGAAGTCATACTTGCATTATTTATAAAATAAACTACTCTTATCTCCTTTTTCATATTGATAGAAATGTCACAAATAAACACAAAACACGGTTAAGTCAAATAGACCTACTTTCAGTGAATGTATTATAATACTAGGCAAGAGTCAATAAAATTCCTATTTTAATAACTTTACAACTGTAATGTATTAATTAATGCTTTCCAAATACATTGTAATACAGTAAAGAACCTTTTGTCGTCATTAAAGATACAAGCGACCATTTTGTTACAAGACAGGACGTTTATTTATAGCCTCTCACTGGAGGCTCGAGGCACAAAAACCATCTTGACCTTGGAGTTGTTAACACCCCTTCCCTACCCCCCATACAAGTTGTGTTGTTTGTTTACTCAAGCGATAAGATAATCAGTTCTCAAAATCGTAACGCACTTTATGATGTTATAAATTTGCCGCACAGATAACAAATCAGATCAGATGTGCTCGAGCTACGAACGATGATGACAAACTGACAATAGGCTATGCTATATTTTTTGTGATCATCACAAAATAACTTATTGTTAGTCATATCCTGTGGAGATAAGCGTATGGTTCAGTTCTCATCGCCGAGCGTGGGAGCGGAAATGCCGAGATTCCTAGAAAGCGGCGGTTAAAACGAGCTGCTCTCAAAGCAAGGTCGGTTAAAACAAACTGTATTATTTTATGATCAAAGGCGGATAATCCGATTATCGGTTAATACGAGGTCGGTTAAGAGGGGGTCTACTGTACTCCATTTCCTGATCTCCCTTGGTCCCTAGTCGGATGTGACTTCGCCAAAGTCAAGGGTCAATTGTTTTTTGTGATACAGGACTACTACTGCTGCAGTACCCACAATCAAAATACTGAAAAGGATCTTTTCACAATTTGGTATTCCACACACACTTAGGTGTGATAATGGTTCCCCGTTTGATAGCGAAGATTTTAAGAACTTTGGAAGAGATTGGGGTTTTACTATAACAACTAGTAGTCCTAACTATCCACAGTCCAATGGTCTGGCCAAGTCAGCAGTAGCAACTGCTAAGAAGATTATTCTCAAGTGTAAAGACATACATGAGGACATGTTGGCTTTCCGCTCAACACCTTTAGAGAATGGTTACTCTCCTTCAGAGTTGCTTATGAACAGAAAGGTAAGAGGGACTGTGCCCATTGCTCCTGTCAACCTTGTCCCAAAAACACCCGATCTCAAAACACTGAGATCCAAAGAAGAACATATAAGAAGTAGAAGGAAAATCCGGTTCGATAAGAGGCATGCAACGAGAGAAAGAGAAGAGCTACAAGATGGACAAATGGTTTATGTCAGGGACAAGCAAGTAAAAGGAAGAATCATACGAAAACACAAACAGCCCAAATCCTACATAGTGGAAACGGAAAATGGGGGAAGATTAAGAACAAACCGAGTTCATTTATCGAATCTTAAAGATGAATTTCACTAGACCTACCCCAGACGCTCGACTTGTGAGAGGAGGATGTGCTGGTCTCTCCTTCTGTCTTTATACAAATCATATGATTATAACCTGATGTTGGGGTTTGTTTGTAAACGAAGGGGTGAGAAGCCAAGGGGTACAAGTGACTCGAATTTCATTTTGAGAAAATTAGGTTTAAAGTTTAATTGATATAATCAAATCTAGGCACATTTTAGTTTAGTTAGTTTAATATAGTTTTATTTTCAGGTATTTCAAAATTCAGAAAAACACATTTTTATACTGGTTTTGATTTGACTCTTTGTGTTATCGGCTACTATATGATAAGAGGTGTCACTTGTACCCCTTGTCTTCTAAATGGAAATGGAATAATCTAAGAGCACAAGTTGTTAAATCAAATGAAAATCAAATTTAATTACAAAAAGTAAGCGCCTGTCATACATATCAGTCAGAATCACTGTCGTAAACGTTTTCTAGTTCTACATTGTCTTCATGCTGTTCATCACAAGTCTGCTCTCTTGGTTGGCCCTGTCTTGTCAGAGGATTCCCTTCGTAGTCTAGAGACCTATAGAATCGGTGGTGGATTGGAGGTACAAATTGCAGCAGATTAAGAAGGTCTTTGAACTTAGATGCCTTTATTTTCTTTTTGTTGGTTTTTTGAGCCAAAGATGGTAGTTGGGTCGGAATCCTGCATGGGTTCTTCGCTAGCAGACTGTACTCTGAAAACGGCATGTCTTCATTAAAAGTGTTTTTGTAGAACAAAGTCGAAGGATTGTCCTTTCTAAACTGCAACCACTGCATTTTACTTATCCCAGTCACAGATTTCACAAAGTACTTGTAAATGGTATCCAGGGATACAAAGTCTTCATCTGACATCTTTTTTACCATGAACTTTTTGCTTGCTCCCGCAATGATCTCCACCCAATCATCTGGAACAAAAACGCCTCTCTTCATGTTCTTTTTCATAATTTCCACCTTACCGAAGTCCCTGTCACAGTCGTTGTACGAGTGGCCAGTACGTAGAAACTTTAAATCAATGGTCTTCAGGTTACTAGTATTAACTACATACGCCCAAAATTTTACTGTTATGTGACTCTTATTTTGCCCCCCACAGTTATCACTGAAAGCTGTCAAGTGGGTGACAGTTGGAGGCAACGATTTTATGTACTGCAGTACACAGGACACAATTTCTTCACACCCTCTAGACGCTTGTGCTTCATGCCACATGAACATGAACGCATTATCTGTACCAATATCATGTACGTTGAAATTGTAGGTCCAAAGTTGACGAGAGTAGTATATTCTTGTGCACGTTAGTATTGGGGTGGGCAACATTTTCTGGAGGTCAAAACAAATTGCAACATGGGTTGGGTCATCTTTAACCTCTTTTTTTGCATTTTCCATTTCACTTTTAGCACTTTCAGCCTGACGGAGGTGCACTTCTTTTGCTGTAATAGCAGCTTGCTTTGCTTCCTGATTCCCATGTTCGATGGTGTTTTGCAGTTTGTCACATGTATTACAAGTGTCAACATGTGGTCGATGAAAAGCAAGGTTAAAACAGGTATTGAAAATGTGCCTGTAATAAGACAAAGTAGTAGGTTCCATGCCCCTTTCTGCACAGAAAAGTTTATAGCATTCATATAACTTTTTTATGTTTAAGTTACTATCAAGATATTTTCTGTTTGGAGCTTGCTGTCTTGAATAGTGACTAGTGTATTTTGGAAACATTGCAATATGCTCCTTGACTAAGTCTGTTTTTGCCTGTGCAGTTTTATTGGAAGGAATTTTACGGCCTCTCTTGTCTCGAGGTGAAATTCCTGTTTGAGACATTTTTTTCTTAGTAGCAACATTAGTAACTCGCTTATTTGACACATCTAGTGTCTTTAAAAAGAATTCTTTACAAACCCTGACATTTCCTAAATGATATTGACACGAAAAGGACTTCCCACGGGCTGCATTATCTTTCTTTCTAGTAGGATCCCCTATATTAACAGCAGAGTTCAAAAAAGAAGACTGTAGTTCCCAGTTCCCCAACCCCCAGAACTGATCAAAATATTCTTGTCTCTTTTCCTTATTAACTTTTTCATTACACTTGTATCGACATTGATGGTTGTAAGGCGTAACCTGCTTTTTTTGGTGTAGTATACCTTTCCGGTCAATGTATTCTTGCCCCAAATTTCGTAGACTTGAAGATTTAGTCCTTTTCCACGTCTCGGTTCGTCTAGTCCTTTTTCTTCCAGGGTGCTTGGTCCGCTTTGGAGGGGGTCTTCTTCCACTGTCTCATGAGCCCGTTCATCTTCCTCTACTTCCTGGGTCCCTCCTTCTCTGACTCTACCTAAAATATAAAAAAAACATCAGTTTCTGACAGTAAAATTAAATAACAATATCAATAGAATCATGTATTAGTTATTAAATGGCATGATGAAACACACCTATGGAAACAGTGTTTATTTTTTACTTTAAGCTCCTTAAGAGGTACCAGGAGTGGATAAACATACCATACAAGAAACGATAAAATTTATCTGAAAAATCTTGTCATAAGTTTTTATTGCAAGCGAAATAGTATATTTCATTACTAGGACCGAAAGTGGCATTTTCCGTAGCGCGCTCAAGTTTTTGTTTGAGGCGAAGCCGAACACAGGGAACCCCAATTTCACGTGCGAGGCGAAACGGAGTATGTGAGGGCTATTTTCACGTACGAGGCGAAGCCGAGGACGGGAATGATGGAGCAAGTGCCGGATAATAACTTTCGGTACAAGTTATGAACGATACTTTTCATCACGACGAAAAAATACAAGAACACAGAATAGCAGACCTCAGTAATATTACAACTATTTTATTTCTCAATTAATTTGATTGAACATAAAAATAATATAAAATCTTCTAAAAGGAAACTTACGTCTATTTTTGATTAACTTTTAAAACCAAAAAATAGTAGAAAATATTCTAAAGTTAGCCTACGTATATTTCTCAATGAATTTTTTTACATCAAAATAAGAGAATAAAACAACGTTTAACAATACACACAGCTGATTCAAATAATTAAATTAAACCGTAACAAAACACTAGCGCGAGTAGTGAATAAATGGAGAACTAATTGAGAGCGAGGGAAAGTAAATTTAGAGCGAGGGAAAATCAGCTGTTCAATTTTCCCTCGCCCTTAATTAGAGCTTGGGAAACGACTACTTTCATTGATGTCAGCTGTTATCGAAAATAGTTACTTTCGTTAAGTAGTGATGGAAAAAGTTTTCCATCGATAAACTTTCTTTCTTCGCTTTATTAACCACAAAACTAACTATTATTTCCTAACTAATCTCAAAACCAACTAATGAGAGTTGGGAATATTCTATGCTCACCATCTTCAGAACTGTCGCCTGAGTCTTCATTGTGAGGATTGAAGTCAGGATCCATATCACTGTCATCTAGAAATAAAACCCAGTATGTAATAAAGATAAGATAACTATTTCAAAACAAAATAATTATAAGACTGAATCTGGAATGAAAACATAACCTAAGAATTGCAAAGAACAGTTTCATATTTCAAAAGCACAGACTAGGTAAATTATTAAAAATAATAATTGTGAGAAAGGATAGGATAAGCAGGCTTACCTTAAAACATGTAGGCATCCCACTTCATTCACTACAGAACACAGAAGAAAACACAAACAAAATAAACACTGGATATTTCGAGGCCACTGGCCCCTTTCTCAACACATTGTTAAGTTGTTAAGTTAACGTTACCTATTGTATTTATTTACTTAATGGTACAATAAATCTCTTGAATCTCTTGAATCTACAGCATGGATCTCCGCCTTGTGAATTGTCGGATGAATAGATTTATTGTTGATTGTAGTGTCCGTTTGCGTAGGTTTCCTGTATATGTCATCTATCTTGTTGTCTTTTCTCTCTAATGTGAGGTCCAAGAAGTTGATCATCATTTAATCATCATCCAGTTGTACTTATAAAAATGTATTGGCCGGTGCTTCCCGTAGCCAATGGGATATAAGTAGGGACGCCATTCAAGATTCTTGTTATTCGCCTATTGGGTCTGATGATGATTGGAGTGTCCAATCGAAATCGATCACCACTCTTTTATACATATTTATATTAACCGTCTTGTGAGTTAACATTATAAGTGTAAATATATTAAGTGTTACTAGACATATCTTTATTTACTTTCCGTACATACACTAATTATAGGAGTTGACATCTAGTCCATTGATTACAAGGATGTTTGAAGAGTTAGACAAGGAATATATTAAAGACTTATTAGATCCCCAAATAGAGACTGAAAACTTCAGTTCAACGCTTCCCTTAAATTTCTAACTTGTTTTAGCGTAAATTAAGTGCAGTGGTTCTATTATTTGTATTGTCAACTCAACCTATTGCTGATTTGTTCCTAAAAACTTTAAGGATAAGTTAATCAAGAAGGGAATACAACTCAATGAATCAAATTTAGAATTATGATGCACAATAATTATTTGCAAGCCATTTTGTTACATTCCACTCAACAAACCAGTTTTCAATACTCAGCTAGGACACCGCCTAAGTTGACAGAATTGTGCTCTCTCAGTAAAAAAAAACTAACAACTCAGTGCCCGACTTGTAAAAAATGAGGTGCCGGAACTGTAACCTATTTAATGTGATTTGTACCTTTTTATGCCAATATTTCTATATTCCTGAAAGAGAGGTACCGGAACTCCGTTCCCCTGCAAATCGAGCACTGCATTTACTTCTTTAGACCATAGTTAAGTTTCTCACCAGGAACAGATTCATCGTGCTCTTTAATAAACTCTGATTGCAAGCAGTATCCAGGTGTCGCCAACCTCACAGCTCTACCGAGGCAGTTCTGCCAACTGTATGAATCGGTGACAACACACTCGTTGACTTTGGTAACTAGATCTTTCTCCATCAAGCCTCCCATCCCATAAACTGGTGAATCCTGTAAAAATAATAAAATTTAATAGGCTAAATATGATTATTGAGCAACTGAGTGGAAACCTGTTAGAAAAGCAGTGCAACTGAGAGGTCTTAAAGGTTAGTTTGTGTTTCTTATGTTGAATAATTACTCAAGGAAATATAAATAGCTACAACAAATATTTTAATAAAAAACTGAAGATAAATAGTGTTACAGTTAATGCAATACTTAGGGTGACAAACGTGGGATTGTCCCTGTTTTCTCGAGAAGTAGCTATTACCGTAGGTGACACGGTAGGACCTAGACCCAGGACCGATATGCTTTTTCATTTATATGACCCTAGAAGCCAGAAACGCTATTTGTTCCTGGTTTTTATTTACAGTATTATGTATATACAGTGTTATTCAAAAGTCCCGCAACAGTGTAATATATCTTTTACTTTTACAGATTTAAAATTAAAACTTCATTTTTATCAACTTGAAACTTTTTTTGAAACTTTGTTAACTATCAATAATAACTATAAATTACTAGGCTACTATTTTGAGTTATGATCGCTTTTTTATCCCTTAAGGGGGACGGCCCATGAGGATAGTCAGACAAAATTCCTAAATAGCAGCATAGGTCGAGTTTGGTATCACGAGTAGAACACATTCATTGCCACAAACCCAAATGGACAACTGAGCTCAAAATCACAGCTGTTCAAAGATGCATTGAATTTGCTTGCTACCTCCTCAGGAAGGCGACCGCTAGAAGTCTGAAGAAAATCATAAATGTAAGCACAACAAATTAAAGGTCTTTAATAGTAGGATACAATACAGGAAATTTAAGCTCAATAGAACAATTGAGTAAAAAATAGCATCTCCTCAAATATGTATATAAAGGGGGGGGGGGGGTTTCTAAGTGCTAGAAGGAAATGTTTGGTGGGTAACGCTGATAACGGCAGTTAATTGATGGTTGAGTTAAGTGTGTACTAGATTCTTTTCCATTGCACTTAAGTGCTTGTTCATATCAGATCAGTACTTTTCCTTAATTAAATAACTTGAGAAGTTGGGACTAGTAAATGCTTGCTTTTCAATCAAAAATTCCCTATACTTTTATCCTGGTCATAATCAATACCTTATTCAAGAGTGGATCCACCAATCTATGACCATTTAAAATAAATTATTAGCCTACATAAAAAAGGTCAATTTCAATAATTAAAAAAAACTATAATTTAAAGAATATATTAAGAGTGCAGGTTTAACTTTTTATAAGAAACTAGTGGCTTGTAGGGACACAAGTCCCTAAAACGCTCAATAATTTAAAACAAATTATTGTAATATTTAAACAAACTAAGAAATATATTATCTATGTGTCAGAATAGATATCCCTGTATGCCATATCTATTGTGTAAAAACAGTTTGTTCTTTGTCTTTGATGATGTTATTTTCAATAAATCATTCAAATCACTACATAGGGTTAACTCTGCTAAAGGCAGCAAACATATAATTGTTTGTGAATAAATATTGGTTTATTAAGGTAGCTTTGGTCTTGTGGTTAATTGTGATAAAAAAGACTTCCCTGATTGGAATTTTGGAAATTGTCTTGGTCAAATATGAAAAGTCAAATAAAGGAGTTTTGAGGTAAGCTTAGTTCTTAGCCAAACCCGCTAAATTAGCATCCATATCCAGTTAATAATTATAAGTTTATACTCCTTTTGTTAAGGTTTAGCAACATAAGTGTAAAGTAAAGGCATCCCATTGATCAAACTTAACCCTAGATTTTTTTCTGATCAACATAAAAAAACTGCAATAATTATTCTAAGTTTATGTAGTGGTATCCCTCTTAAAGGTGCGATTGACGTTACATATTCTATCAAATTCGGCCCGATCATTGGCTGATTCTTAACTCTTTTGCGAGCAACAGACAGTACCTGTTTAAAATCTCAAAATAATAATGTTTTTCCTCCCATTAATAGTACTTGCTTAATTAACAAATTTATATTTCCTGTACGAACCTATTCCATCTTTATTCCCAGGTTATTTTCTAAGAGTATAGCCATTGAGGACGTTGAGGTTATTCCACTTCATACAAAATATTGATTAAACACTACAATAAATCCGAAATTTAAAATAAAGAAAGTGTAGAATAAATATAGAACATAATTTTTTGAAATAAAAACAAAGCAGAAGTTTTCCATTTAATCTTAAATCGTTAATTATTCAGTCAATATGTCGTTATTTCTTGTTAAACGTAAAAAATAAACAAATTTGAAATGTTTAACAGTAAAATAATTTATTTCCACATTATAACGTAACTAAAAAGTCTTAATTGTTACCTACCAGTAACGTTATCCCTGGTTTTATACAGTAGGCCTACATTGCAGAATTGACTGGCAAATAAGTAATCCAAATGTTAACATTGCGTACTGGCTTGATGATGGATCACGATCAGCTGTATTGAAGTAAACAAAAATCAGCACTAAATGGCTTCTAATGCTATTCTTGTGGAGAACATTTTACGTTATATCTCGTTTTCTGGTAACTTTATAGGAATTCTTATATTTTTCCCGAGTCCCTGGGGGAGGCCTTTAATTTAAGACCTCTCTCAATTTTGTGCGACTTACCAGACGTTCATAATTTTCTGGTACAAATTTTGTCTTACAGAATTATATATAAGGATTACCAATTGTATTGAGTGGATCTGAACACCGTTTCCCCAGTCATAAAGAGGTAGTAGTAGCCATGGAGTGACCAGTAGAGTGCACATTGCTGCCAACGCGAGCACAGCGTTGTGCCACACTCCGGCACACAAGACACGCAACTGGCGCAGAGGTGTCAATAGCTCCAAATTCTCCAATGAAACGTAGGCGACTGGGATACATAAAAACACCACCACGCCAACTCCACCCACGCGACCGTCTTCCCTGGTCACAGAATGTCTAATTAGAAATGTGATGGCGGGATGAAGTAACCTTTTCCATCACATTGCACTATTAAAATACCCTCTCCCCAGCAAATCTTCAGACTAAGCAAATTTCCATTAATTGGAATTTCACTGAAATATTTACTTTCACATGTCAGATATAACTTAATCCCTATTTAAATAATATTACATTTAACAAGGTTTGCTACTGGGAGGGTAATCAATTTTAATTTTGAGTGAAATATTAATAGCTTAATTTAAAATAAATACATTTGACTATTTTTAGCAAATTTCTCATATAGGGAATAAGCTATTACCGCAGTACTCATGGTAAGACCTGGACAAAAAACAAATTTACTTTTTTGTTTTGAGGACCCTAGAGGCCAAAAACACCACCCGTTCAAATTCATATACATATTATATATGTATATATTTGTGTCCGTCAGCACGATAACTCGAGCAAAGATGATCCGATTTTGATTAACCCTCCGAGTGTCCCTTGTTTTGTCCTTAATGTCTGCCTATATTTTGCTCATTTGCAAGGTTTTATTAAAATGGATCTGAGAAGCTTGAAAACAATGTTAATTATACTGTTCTATATACCATTTTGTTTAGAAAATCATGGGCTTCAATATTATACATAAAACACAAGGAACATTTGTTTCAAACAAATTTGTTAGGTAAAAAAAAAATTTTGGAAAATTTTTGAAAAAAATAAGTTCGCGCTCAAAGAAATTGTATAAATTATAGGCCTATAAATATTTGAAAATAGCACCTTTGTTCTAAATTTTATGAGGATTACAAATATATAATAATATAAGGAAGTAGATTTGCAAATAAATAAGTTACGGGCAAAAAACAGATTTCAGTACATAGCGTTTAGCTAAGAATGCATAGCCTAACCATAGCTAGGAATCTGGCTGATAATTTACATCAATATCACTCACTACCTACTTCTTCAGGATCATCAACCAGCCCTTCAAAATCACTTAAATCTTCTTATAATGCACCACGTATATCACTACTTTTGATTTTTAACACTAAAACAATGATAAACGTAATAAAACACATCAGTCATCGGTGCGAGGTTAACCAAGCTGTTTACAAATACGCACGTCAGCTGTCTGCTACAATATTTTCGGAACTAAAATGAAAAGCGCTTAAAGACAGACCTCCGGAGAAAGCTCTGAATCTGCCAAATAAAACGATACCTAACTCGATCCAGTTCAATTTGATTTTGTCAGTCATAGAGTCTTCGCCGTAAACAGTGTTTGTGAGTCGATGCATCGACACAAAACACTACACAAAGTGTTTTATGTGTGGAAGCATCGACAAATAACACTCGGAGGGTTAAATTTGGTATAAACCTACATTTATTCAAACAAGTTCGTGAACCAGCATGATCAGGCTATGGGAACGGGGGTTTATGGGGTAAGAATAGGTTTTTCCTGTTTGACCCAAAAAACATTAAATTTAGCAATTTCTTTTCAAACCATTTTGTAGAGCTTAAAAAACTAACAATTTAGTATATTGAAGCATAATTGTGCGCAAAATGGTTACGGAGAAAATAAAAAAAAATTTAATTTAAAATTCCCGTTATTCTTATGGGGAATAAATAAACTGTTGTAGTTTGCTTGTTTATGAACGTATTTTTATCAAATTTGGAAGATGCATTTATTTCTTACTAAACTATTAACATTTTACAAAAAAAAACACTTTTCACCCTCCCTGTTGCTGCAAACCTAAGTACTTGTTAAACTAATTCTATTTAAATAGGGAATAAATGTGATATTTTTTAGGTAACATGCTAGTGTAAATCAAATCAGGAAAATGGAAATTCCCTTAGTCTGCAGGTTTGCTGCGGCAGGGGTATTATCTAAATACTGTACTTTAATCCAAAAACAAACAAAAACTTTGTAAAGGGGAAAAAGGTTATTTTATATCTACAGAAAAGGTAAGATCTTTCTCTTACACAAAAGTGGTCACCCCTTACTACAGTATTATCAACAGATTAAATATTTCTTCGATAACAGCAGTAAGCAGTGGAAATAAGTAGTTGGTTTGATAAGGTTTATATAGAGGCGGTTCACAAGTACGGGGTTTGTGGCCGGCAGTTATCGTTGATCTCGACCAATTTTTCTAGGTTAGAAAAGATCAAGCTTAGCCGAGACCAACGCTGGCCGTCGCTCAACGGTAGGGATTAACTAGGAATTTTCGTTGGAAGGTTGGCAACAGCCACATGGTCTACCTGCCGGGCCGCTGCTCACGACAAAACAAAAGGATGACGTTGTGTCAAATTATTGGTTCATAAACTATTATAATTATACAGGGTGTTTACTGATATCGTATAAGAGGTTGTGGACTTGCACTTAAATTCATTTTATACTAAAGTTTAATGTTACTCAATTAATCATTGAATTGTGAATAATACACTTTTACTGAATACATGTCATTGAATCGGGAAAATACAATTATGTTTTTTAAAAAAATTTGTAAACAAATCTTCGTAATGATTGCAAACTAAAATTAGATTACCAATTATGTACAAACGTTCAAATTATTTAATAAAACGACTGCTCTTTTCAAAGATTTATGATTATCTTTTATGTATCAGTAATTTGTTTAAAAAATAAATCTGGAGAAACAACTGGCTATTATAGGAGCCGGCCTTCATACGTAAACAATAATAATATAAAACGTAATTTTTTTTTTAAAGTGATTGTAATATAGAGGATGTAAATTATTTTTTGAGAAAAAAATAAATATTGAACATTAGTAATAGAGTGGTATTAAAATATTTCATTACAATACCTACTGTGTAGAGTGGAATTTATAAATCAGATGGCAGTAGGCACCCAGTTAGTGTTAATAGTTTGCGCTCTTTTCAATACCTCGGCTTGTAGCTACACTTTATTTCACTGGGTTTACACAGACTGTTAAGGGTGCGCTCTACCTCAGCTCTGATTTCTCAATACGAGGTTGCTGAACGCCAATGTCCCTTGCATTGAACAGCGCCATGAAGAGTGCTTGCAAACCTTTCGAAGCTGGGTGATTTGATTACACCGTTATCCTTAGTTTAAAAAAAGACTAACAACAGATTCTTGTTTTTAAGAATCTATTGCACTTCCTCCGTTTGTTATTTTTTCTCTGAAAATTATTTGTATGCATTAAACCTGTGATAAAAAACGTGTATTTTAACATTTTTACCAACCTTCGAGCCTAAAGTTTTTTTTTAAATATCAAAATTTTAAAAAGCAGCAAACCTACAATAATATTTAACAAAAAATATGACACCAAGATCTTTTAAATCGGTTCACAATTGGGGCTACAAACAGTAGGAACTAAAACCCTTGCATTTGCACGCGCTAGAGGGGTAGAGCGTAGCCCTAAGCATGAGAGATCTTAGGTGTAAGAAAACAGGTTATAATCAACAAAATATTTTGTTGTAAATACAAAGTTTTTTATATTTAACAATAAAATTGATCTTTTACCTCAGCAAATTGAAGCAATTTATTGTAAACCCCGATATGACTAATATTAAGAAATTATCAGATGAAAAGGTCTTTAACAACTGTTAATTCATAAACATAATAATACAAACATATCATTTAAACTTAATTAACTTTAACCTAACTTTTATTTACTTTCCGTAAATTTAATAACACGTACAATGCTGATCAAGAATTTATATCATTTAAAACATACAAAATTAAATGTGGATACTTAAATAAAATGACCTATATTCTATATTAATTATACAATAAAAATGCTTAGACAAACCTAACAGTGTTTGATGGAACCATTTTTATTTTGAAATTATTCAGCTGAAATAAAAGGGTTCAATAGTCAGTGGCGTAACAAAAGCCCGTAATGCGGGGTGGCCCGGGAGCTGAGGGGGCCCGCGAACCGGTGAGCGGGAAACAACGAACAGAGAGGCCCGTGATAAGAGTGGGGAGTTCCGCCAAAAATTGGAGTTCATTCTTATTTTTAAATGTATTATCAATTATTCAATAATTGTATTGAACAAGTAATAACATTAATGTTAATAATATGTTATATGTTGTTATCATTTAATTTTGTTAGGCCTCTTCAGTGATAACAAACTAAGGTAACAAATTTAACATTTTATAACGTGGGTCATTGATTATTATGCACTCTCACTTTTGTCACCGGGAAATATTTTACTTCTATGTGATTTAGTACACTGCTTATGTCGTCTGCAAACATTTTGAAACAATAATTTACCTGGAGCCTGGAGTCTTGAACGTTGGATGGGGCTTTTAATTTTGTATTATTTTACATTTTAGTTTTGCCCTAATATTGATTGTATTTCGTTAAATACAACATATTGCTACTCTACTGACTGTATTTGTTAGCCTATATCTCATTTTACTTCACAATTAACCAATACTAAAGACATTATGTTTGTAAGGTAAACGATAGAAATCCATACAAAGATAAAATTAAAAAATGCAATAGGATATTTTAGCCTGTGATAAAAATACATCAATCTGATAAATTAACTAACTTTTAGTGTATGAATTAATTATAACCAAAGATTAAACTAACCTAATAAATAAATACTTAAGTACTTTACTTTGTGTTCAACCTCTATGGTTATTTAATTATTATTTAACCCTATGTTTTCATTTACTTTTTTTAATAATATTGCCTTGTATTTGTGTCTTGATTAAAAACAGTTTAGTTTCTTTTGATCTTTTAATTTTTATCTAAATAAGAAATAGAACATGGCACAGTCGAATGAAGAACCCGTATCCCTGAACATTAAGCCTCCTGAAGCCTTTTCCTTCAATCCTCACGACTGGAAGACATGGAAGACTCGCTTTGAGAGGTATTATTCCCTTAGCAATTTAGCTCAACCTTCTGGTAAGCATCAGATTGACATGCTTATATACTGTATGGGGGAAAAGGGAGAGGATATACTCATTCAGGTTAAATGACAATGACAAATCTAATTACAAAGTTGTTCTAAAGAAGTTT